TTCGCACGTCCAAAATTCGGCCCGGAGAGATAGCGGCGGGTCTATCAGGTATCTCGCCGGCGGATATTACCGTACTGTACGCGGTGTCAGCGCCTGCGGGGCCACCGTATGGCCGCCGGATATTCGTGCGTTATCGATTAAATCCGAAATCGAAGGTCATAAAAGCGCGCACGAGAGAGCGCGCGAAATAGCGGGCGGAATTGAGAAGCGGCACGCGAGAGAGCCTCTTTCCTGACGACGGGCCTTCGCTGCGGCCACGCGGAGAGAAAAAGGTTTCTTCAGATTTAGTATTTCGATTGATTTGACTGAGATTTCTCTCGTGGGAGGAACGTACACGGAAATCATCATTCGTTCGAGTACGAATTTTATCGTCTCGCTCGAGAAAACTCTATTACTTAACTGAAAGGTGTCGCTATTATTTGGAAATAATATCCCTCGGTCAAATAAAAGATTACTTGGTTGCAATAAATATGCAAAATGAAACGAGTAATTTCTTTATAAGAAAATTATCCTTCCTTCCAAATTTTTTATTCAAGATAAAGGTATGTATTCGCCCGAAGAGTCTAACAATCGTGTCTTATTAATCGAAACAATAGTTTCCTCGGGGCAAGCCGATGATGAAATTTGTTTGGATGCAGTGAAGTTGATTGAACATGAAGAAACCTTTCTCCCGGTGCGCGCCTCCGTTGTGTTCGCAACCGAGAGAATTTACTTTGCGACGTAAACGCGAGGCTAACGCAGTTAGACAGATTGCCCGCTTCAACACAATGTCCCGCTTCTCTGAACAATCGTTCAACAATGCGTCAACAATACACTTGCGACTGGGAGATCACTAACAACCCGATGACATTGCGTGCGTTGAGGCTGTTCCGCTGATTAGTGCATCGGCGAAGTCTGTCCGGCGAGGAGATAACCGCGCGGACAAGGGAGAATAAACATTACGTCAGAAGAGTTCGCTCGTCCTGAGGTGCGTTTCGTGCAGTTAACAAGTACCTTCGGCCCCTCCATCGGCCGTGGATGGTCTTCGATTGAATCTCTCAGATTGGGAGTTCCGTCGGGATATTTTTCCCTTTCCGTCGTCCAGCTGCGAGCGGCCCTCGCCGCCCGGATCGATTGTCTAAACGGGGGAAACGGAGAAAACGAAGAAGAAAAGGAAGAAGAAAAAGAAGAAGAAGAAAAGTACTTCGTCCCGGCGATATGGAATTTCGCGAGTTTCGCACGGAAAGTCGGGAGACGCGCGGGGAGAATTAAAGCGAGCCGCGTTGCCGCGGGTTATTAAAAGAGCGGCCGGCTCGGGACGGCGCTTATTTATCGATATCCCGCGGGAAGCCCGGAGGCAATTTACGGGCGAATTGCTCGGGGAACGCGGTCGGAACCGTTCCCCGCGGGGGGAGAGCGCGGTGAGCACGCGGCGTGACGCGCAAACGGGAATAAAAGAGTCTCCGGTTTTGGAACGAAGTTTTCCGGAGGACAAGTGTGTGTGTGTATATGTGTGCACGCGCGTGTTATCGCGCTAGGTGACCCCCCGGCGGAGGAAAAGGCCACGGGAAAGGTCGGTTACGTAATATTACTAGCGACCGTGGCGAGCGGGAGAATGATTCCTCCGTTTCCCGGGCATCCACGCGACAGGAGGAGAGGCCAGCCATTGAGACACTCTGTAGATAACTCAGATGAAGGTTCAATCGATACTTGGTACTCTCGAAATTTCCCGGAATGAAATCCCCCTCGAAAAGTAAAATAACCACCGAGACATTCGGCAACAGGAGTGACTCTTCGCTCACGTGGTGCGAATTCTCCGGTCTGAATCATCTCCCCTCGGAATGAAATCGGAAGTGCTCCACACCGGAACATATTCGGCCGAATCGCTCGAAGGGTCCGCTCGCGCGTGAAATCCGCTAAGCTCGAGCGGAACATTTTCACTCTCGCGACTCTCCGTTTCCCCCTGTCGCTTCGAGCGAAAACACCGCCACTTTCCGTGAGAGACTTCACCCCCGAGAAACCGGCGGAACGCGGCTGCTTCTCTCTGCGCTTCTCTCGCGCGACGATTATCATCGTGTCCGCCCGCCGCGCTCGCATATATCGTGTACCACGTGTAATCAGCGACGACGGCGGCGTGGTGGTAGCGAATAACGCGCCCGAGCCGTATAAAAGTTGCCCTCGCGCGATCGCCGACAATTATTCCGATATCGGCTGGCCGCTCGGCTCGTTTCACCGGCGAATCGACCGAGTCATCGACGCCGTCGCCTACCGACGTAGCTCGACGCGGAGCTTCTACGTGGTGCGATACCGCGGGGATACGGCGGGATCTTCCGGATCTTCTTCCGCGTCGAGTTCTCCGAGTAATCGGCATGCACGGCCGCCGGGTCAATTCGTCCAAGGAGGAGGAGAAGAACGACGACGAGTGCGAGTGCGAGATGACTAGGTAGTACGACGATTCGCCGGTCAGCTCCGAGCGTCGCGCCGAAATTCGAAAATGCCGACCGTCAGTCGCGTCTGCATCCACTGAAACAGAGATTTCTTCAGGTTAACAAGTTTTATCGCATCCAAACGGGTCTCATTATCGGCACGCTCCGAAGAAATTAACGTTCCGATTAATAAGCGCGATTGGTTGGACTCTTCAACGAATGCGTGTGTCTTCGTCTCGAGTAACGAATTCGTTACTCGAGACGAAGGATGATTCTCTTACGAAGAAATTATTCGTTTCGCCTCGCACATTTATCGCATTCATCGCGATCGTTTCTACCATAGTATTTCCCCTTCCGTGTGTCCTTGGAAAAGAAATAAACCGAGAAAACTCGTGAAAAGATTGGAAAAAAATTCGGATTTTTTCGGAGTCACCGCAAATCGCGGCGGCAAACGTGTGGAAAAGAAAAGCAGGAAAGGAAGAGCGTGGGAGGGAAGGGGGGGAGGCAAAGAATGATGGACAATAACGCACGCGAGCCGCAACAAAGACGCACGAACGGAGGAAACGTGGCGAATACGACTTCGTGGCCAGACGACGTCGGCGGAATCGTACGAATCCTCGTCACTTTCCACCGCTCTGCGAAATATCTACGCTCGAGAATCTGCCGAAGTCTCGCCATTCAACTTGCCGGTACCTTTTGTACCGACCCAGGTGCTATCTTCGCGCAGAGCTTCCCATTATTCTCCCTTTACGGTCCACGCAAGCGCAATAGAAAGTACGCTCGCACGAATGTGACGCGAGAAATGCCAAGAGATATATCTGTATTAAATAATACGTTAACTCAATTCGATCGGAAGGTAAAAGTGGAAGTTGGAGGATGAAATAAATTTTAATCAAATGGAAAAATAAAAGAGAGAAAAATTGGGACTAAATTCAAAGAAAAATATATACGTCGAAATGGAACAAGTGGAAATCACAAATATGACATCAGAAATATGTCCGTTAATGTGAATGATCGCGGTCAGTTTTCCCCGAGTTAATTTACAGCGCGTCACGTTCGACGTTCGGTTATTATTTGCTCCGGAAATATCGATCGGGAATATTTGTTAAAAATAAATGCTCTTCAGAAAGTGCGCGTTCATCGATAACAATGGTGTGTGCGTAGCTTCATTTATCGAACAGTGGATCGTGAAAGCAAAGAAAAGGAACGATTGCAGATGAATAAAGGCAGTAACAATTTGCAGACGCACTTAGCTACGTCGTAAATCTTCGGATAACATAAAGAAGACGGTATTTTGTAAGTGTACCGCGGATCAATATAATTTGTCGGACAATAGACGGGATTGCACTCCAAAACTAGATAAGACCGTCGCCATTCGAACGACATGTCGCGACGATCCGACGAAAGATAGGAAACACGGCTATTTGTATCTTTCCGATGTTGAACCCGATTGATTTTACGAACTATCGAACGCTTAAAAGAGTGGCCGAACAAAAGTCATGATTTCTCCGCTTAATTTGGCTTGCGGGCTTAGTGACACGCGTTCTTCGTGGATTCGTTTCCGGCGTTTCGTGAATATTTCAGTTTACTTCTTCAGGCGGAAGAACGATCTGAAAATATCCGAAAACTCATGTCACGGTGTCATTTTCAACGTCGCAAAACGTCGGAAAAAATCGACGAAGGAGAAAAACTGTTAGTTATACGGAGAAAAAATTTTGCGCATTTTATCGCCGAGCAAAGCTATAAAGATGCTGGGAAAATACACTCCCGGCGGCAAAGTAGAATTTAGAATTCAAATTTGCGGCACGAATGTCCCCTTCTCCACCCCCGACTTGTCGTCGTGTTCCTCGGAAATGCGACACGATTATTCGACGGCGCCGATCAAATGAGGCTTACTCGATTATGATGCGCGCGAATTCACCGGCGGCCGCGACTGATTAAGCTTACGATCGCATTAACGAAGTCAATTTTCGACGCAGATGCGATTAACGACCCGCCTGTTCCCTTCGCTCGCCGAACATTTCGCGAGCGACGTCGCGATGTCAAAGGTAATTCAATCGCGACCCGTTTCGTCCCGCTTCCTTTCCGCGCGGTGAAAACCGAATAATCCGCGAAGCGGAGAAACCGCGCGAGTCTCGAAATCACGAGAGAGACTTCGACCTACGGAAAAAATTCACACGAGAAAGATAATTTGCCGTCGCGACAAAATCTGTCTGCAGCTGTTTGCAGCAAAATGATCCGTTCAAAGTACTAATTACTGATTTAACCGAAAGGGTAAATTAATAAATGTAGGAAAACGCTATTTTGTTCCAACGGCAAATGAACGTGTCCTAAGGGCAAATTCGCTCGGCGGAATATTCTCTATCACGGCGACAGAGTTGTTTCTGCTCCGACTGCGAATAATTCGCTAATTTCGCTATGCCAATTAAATCTTATCGCAACGAATATGCAGTAGCAACGATGATCTTGCTACGACATTATTTCTCCCCGTGCATTCCCGCTCATTTCTAACACGTTCTAATCTCTCTCTCTCTCTCTCTCTCTCTCTCTTTGAATTACACGAGATTCTAATAACAGGATTTTCCGTTTGCACAGATACAGCGATGGCTCCGTGCGGCTACGAAATCCTAACATCGAGCTAATGGATCAGGATATATTGTACCATCTCGCGCTTGGCAGCGGCTCTCACGACCTCGTCGAGATGTTCGGCGACGTGAAGGTACATATCGCGCGTCCGTCGTCTTAACTCGTCGAAATAACGACGGCGGAAAATATTGAGGCCGGTAACAAAAGTACACAAAGAACTCGTCTCGAAACACTTGAGCACACAGGGCGTATTCTTTCATCAATTTAAAGCCGTCTCTCTCTTTTCCCCGCGAACTTTTTAATTTCCGACCTGAGAAGTGCCCTGGAGGAGTGAATAAAATATACTTGGTTCGCCTTCCGAGTTAGCGCCGCGTCCTTCGTGGATTTGTTTCCGTGAACATTTCGCTTCTTCGCCGAGTCGCGACCCGGGTTCTAAATATTTCGAGCAAAATTCCCCCTCCCGGGCGAAATTCCGTTAAAGCGACGTTCGTTCGCAGTAATTGACGGTACTCAATGAGAGTGAAATTCTGTCGGGATTTCGCGCAGCTTTTAGGAAAAGACGGCGGATTTCCGCGAGATTTTCCTCGCGCGCTTAAAACGCTCAATTGTCTCTCGTTGATTGTCGTGGCATTTACGAGCGAATTAACACACTCGCCGGCAGGCTTTACCTGGGAAACCCTTCTCACACAGATCACGGGATCACCTGATATTATATTGTTTTCTTTCATTCCGCGACGCTAATTCGGAAGCCGCATCAGATATCTTTTTTTTTTTCTTACAACTGTGTCGCACAGACTTTTGGTTTGATAACGTGGACGTAAAAGAAAAGAAAATATTTTCCGCTGTCGCACGTGTACGACGCATATCGTTATCTTTATTTACCGTTTTATATTCGTGCATAAAAACGTCCACTTCTATTGTTATCGGGGACACGATCGAAAACGCATCGGATGAAATAACCATGTGACCTTACGCTTCCACAGTTCGTCTGCATGGGCGGGACGCCGAAACGGATGGAGCAGTTCGCGAATTACATCATGAAGGAGATAGGTCACAAGCTGCCGGCCGGAACGACCCTCCTCGACATCAGCCAGTACTCTTACCGCTATTCCATGTACAAAGTCGGCCCGGTCCTTTCGATCAGCGTAAGTCGCACCGACTTTTATATCGGCGTTCCCTCTCCGTCCTTTCGCCCTCCTTCGGCCTTCTCGCCGCGACCGCGGTAAGAGTTCTATTTCCGCCCGATACGTTCCGATTAATTATCGAGGAACAAGCGAGCGCCGGGTCAAGTGGATGGAAATGAAAGCGCGCTTCAAGGTTCTTTAAAGCGCCGTCGTAATTGGAATTCGATCGTCGAGCGTCGAAATGTTTACGGCGGTTGCTCGAGTGGACTCACTTTTGCGAGCGAACGCGAGGTATCATTAGCGCCGTCTAATTACGGCGCCAACGCCAAATGCTCCGATCGCACGACGTGACGTTGAAATTGCCATTCTACGATTTGCACGCGTCGGCCGGTCTCCTGAATTTACGCCTTCTTTCTCTTTCCTTTCTTGGCCGACTCGCTTCTCGATCCCACGTGCGAGGCTGGATTCACACTGTCCGCCTAGGCCGAGTGTCTGTCGATACTCCGTCAAAATGTTTCTTACTTTTTCTTTTTTTGTATCGGAGCATTCGAAGCATTCGTCACGTTCAGCATTAAGTATTGGAAAATGTTCGACGGGAGTTTCACCGAGTCGAAATTCTGCGTTGTAGAATTGAAAGTTTAACACGGGGCGAAAATTTCGACCCGAGATTGCCTGTTGCCGCCTACGGAACAGTGCGAATCCAAATAGTCTGAATCGAATAATTCCCGTGGGCGCTGTTGGAAAAGGCCGTTCGATTTGCAACCCTTCGACGCGATTAACAACGCCGTGTTCTACATGGAACGATGTGGATCACCGGGCGATTTATCTCTCTCGCTCGCTCGCCGCGCGAAATTCGTGCTTTCTTGCTTTATGAGCTTAAATGCAGCAGAAACGCAGCGCGTGTGCGCGGTGAAAGCACTGTTAAAGCGGAAGGACAACGCAAAAATGGTTGAAGCGATTTAAGGAGAATAATGAATCGCATGGATGCGCGTTCGAATCCATAAAAAGGCGTGCGGACGTGGAAAAGGGTCATCGAAGGGTCAACTATCTCGTCAAATAAAACTACTGTTCAAAAAAGTTCCGAATGTGTCTCGATTTTGATCCAAGAATCCGCACGAACTTTTCCCGGTGCCTGATGGGCGAATGTGCACGGTTCAAATGTAAGGGAAACAAATGGTGATTAAGAATGGAAAATTCGTGTGTTCAGCACGGGATGGGCATACCTTCGGTCGGGATCCTGCTGCACGAGGTGATCAAGTTGATGTACCATGCGAAGGTGAGGGACCCGGTCTTCTTCAGGATCGGCACTTGCGGCGGCATCGGCTACGAAGGCGGCACGGTGGTTATCTCGCACGAAGCCGTAGATGGGATGCTGAAAAATTATTTGGAATTGGTTAGTATGCGTGCATGTGTGTGTGTGTGTGTGTGTGAATAATTTTTCATTAACCCTTTGAGTGGACGCGCATATGCGTTCAACATCAAACGTCAGTATCTCTTGTTAGCGACAGCGTTGCAGTTGTTGCAGGCTTTATTATTTTTAATTCAAGTCACTGATATATTTCTGTCTCATCCGACAGAATTTTATATCCTGTCGCGGATGATAGAGTTCTATATCCTGTCGCAGATGATAGAGTTCTATCCTGTCTATCTTTTATATATATATATATATATATATATATATATATATATATTCTATTATGTTCGACAATCTTGCCGAGTTCCGGCCACGCGGAGCGCTCTTCAGTCATATTTTGCATCGCACTCAGAGGGTTAAATGAGACGAGGAGCTCTAAGGATCTTTCTTTACACTGAAAGAACGAATAATTACCAGCCGTTTTTAGCAATTCTTAGTATGTTTAGTGATTAAACGATGCGATAAAATGGATTAAATTCGTAGAAATCTTGTTCACGGCAATTGTAGCAATTATTTAGCAAACGAGCGAACTGAACGAGAGCAAAAACGGGTAATCGGCGATTCGCCGTGCGCGAAGACGCGTGCGAGGATTAAAGAGTCACGTGTCACGTTGCAGTCGGTGCTGGGGAAAGTGACGCGTCGGCCGGCCAAGCTCGACCGGCAGCTCGCTCGTGATCTCAAGGCTTTGGCGCACCGTGACGATCCCTACGACACCGTGATCGGCAAGACCATGTGCACAAACGACTTCTACGAGGAGCAGGGCCGGCTGGACGGCGCGTTCTGCGACTTCACGGAGGCCGACAAGATGGAATACCTCACGAAGATGCACAAGGCCGGCGTGGTCAACATCGAGATGGAGAGCCTTTGTTTCGCCGCGCTGACCCACCACGCCGGCATCCAGTCCGCCGTCGTGTGCGTGACACTGTTGGATCGGCTCAAAGGCGACCAGGTATATCTAATTTAGCCGGCTAAGTATCGTTACCGATGCGACACCGCCGCCCTCGCAATGAGATTCGGCGAGGTGGACCCGAGCAAGTTGACACAAAGGGCAAGTTAACACAGGAGACGAGCACTAAGTCACACACAATCCTGCGATCAGAGCACCGAGACAATCTCCCGAAATTGAGCCGGAATACCGGGAACACTCACAAATGTGAGAAAGTCCATGAAAGTTACGATATCGAAATCAAGAGAATGCACTCTCTAAATTTCTCAGAGTCCCGCTTAAAATACAACAGTATTTGCGTGGTTAATAATTGAATTCCGAATGTTTGAACGCCGATAACGCGACATCCGATTAATTAAATTTCTAATTAATAAATGATTAATTAGTTAAGTTTTAATTGATTTTTATTTAACTTCGTGTATTTATTACACACTCTCCACGTTCCACGTGGAATCTCACTCAAAACAAGTAACAAGTGGTGATATTTTCATTCGAAGCGACGATAAAAATACCGCCACTCGAAATCGCAAGAGTAAATATTTCACTCAGATTAGGGTGGATTCAGCGATTCGAACGGATGTTTCATTTGATTAGAGTGAATTGGTTTCCGCGTGACGGTGAAATATATCAGATTTATTTTTCAGTTTCGAGCGAAAATATTCACTCGGCAATTCAGAACGGAGAATTCAATCTATGCAAGTGCAGAGTCACTCGAATCCGAGTGTCTTGGCTGTCACTCTACCTTTCTAGTGAAATTCCACTCTAAGAAATTCAGAGAGTACCAAAAAAATTATTATTACGATATCATTATTATCAATATTATTATTATTTCGGGAAAGCTGTTGTTTCCGATACATTGTGTTATTATATTGACGTCAATATTATGATCTTTCGGGAGAAAGTGTGTCCGCCAATTTCCCTCTTTCAGCCGAATTAACGTAAACAAGATACATATATAAATAGAATAGATGCTCAATAAGCAAGAAACATTAAATCAATCTTTCGAAACGTTGATTTTATGCGGATTTCATCAATATTCTGACATAACATTTCACAAATGTTTTCGAGCTGTTACAATATAACGTCGATAACATAATATTCTCGAATATTAAAATCATACCGTATAAATATTATTTTCAATGTTGTGTCAAATATTGTTAACGATGACGTTGTGTACAACATTAAGAGCTACATATTTGAAAACGTTATACGTTATAAAATATTGTAATAAAATTGTGTCAATGATTTCTCGCTTACTGGGTGGATTAATTACCGGGCTAATCGATCTCGATTTGTCACGAAGGTCCTCGCGCCCAAGGAAGTGTTGGACGAATGGCAGATGCGGCCGCAGCAGCTTGTCGCCCGTTACATCACCACGTACCTGCTGAGGAAGGGCCGCCTCTCGTTGGACGGCCACGGCTCCATGTGCGTGAAGAGCCCTCGCCGGTTCAAGCTGGTGCAGCAGGAGTCGGAGAACTACGACTAAGCCGTCGACGAGCGATCCGCGGTCGTTTCATGCCGGAGAACTGGGGACACGGACGGACTTCCTCATCGGAGAAGTCTCTCACCTCGGCCCGCCTTCGGGGGGGAGATCGGCTCGATTACCGAATCACGAACCGCGTCGATCTGCATACGCTCACTTGTCCGCGAGGAAAACACCGGCGGAAACGGCGAACTTGAATCGAATTTTTTGTTGGGGGGGGGGGGGGGGG